CCTGCCACGGTGGCACCGCTCCTCCCGGGGACCAGGCTTCTGCGGCAAGTTCGCGTCGTGGCAACAACGCCACGAAAATATGTACACGGACACCCTTCGATGAGCTTTGCATGCACCCGCAAGGAGGGCTGGCGGTGCGTAAAGTCGCCGGCTCCCAGCAGTGATCTACACACCGCCACCCTCCCCCGAGGCCCCCCGAGGCCCAGGAACAATCCATTGGAGGGTGTCCGTGTCTATCTTTTTTCGTGGCGGAGTAGCCCCTGGCGCTGCTTCTTCGAAGGGCACCCGTAAACATCGGCCGATTCTAGACGACTGGCGAAGTTCAACCTTGAACTAGGAAGGCACCAACTATACACCAACACCGATCCTGGCCAGGATCACCCTGGGCCCAGGATCGGTGTATACGCCCTCCTGCCTTGCGCAAGAAGGCATATACACCGATCCTGGGCCCAGGGTGATCCTGGGCCAGGATCGGTGTTGGTGTATAGTTGGTGCCCTCCGATTGAACGCCCGCGCCAAGTCGCCACCGCGTCGACACGGCGCGGACCATAGCGCCCCGCGATCCGCGACGCCCGCGATCCGCGACGCCCCGCCACCTTCGCGCCCTCGCGCCAAACCCCTTGGGAAACGGGCAGCCGATTTGGCCCTACAGATAATTAAGGGTTTCGGGGGGCTCGGAAGGGATCGAAAGATGTTCGGAGGTGGTTCGGAGGCGTTCTGGGGTGGCTCGGTGGTGATCAGAGACTGTCGGGGGAGGGGGGGGGCTCACAAGTTTTCGGAGGCAATCCGTTGGCTGTTCGGAGGCGGTTCGGAGGTGGCTCGGAGGTGCTTCTTTTCTTCTTCGACCCTAATCACTGCCCAGGGGAGCGATCTTCGGGGGCCTCGGCAGGAAGTGAATTATGGACGTAGTTGGCCGCCCCAGGGCCCGAACTTGTCCGCATCACAACCGCATAAACGAGGTCCCCACTCATCGGCCCCCTGGGCGGTGGTTATGGATCAATCCCCGCCTCGGATCGTAGGTTTCCCATAGGGCTCCTTGGAAGACTGACTAGACGAGGCTCCTGAGAGGCGCCCCAGAATCTAATAAGGCTCATCTGAAGCGGCTTGACTGAGAAGCCTCATCCTCCTGCATTCTGCTCCTTCTCCTCCTCCTCCTCCTCCGCCTCCTCCTCCCTCCTCCTCCTTCCCCCTCCTCCTCCTCCTCCTCATCCCTCCTCCTCCTTCCCCCTCCTCCTCCTCATCATCCCTCCTCCCTCCTCATCCCTCCTCCTCCTCCTCATCCCTCGTCCTCCCTCCTCCTCCTCCTCCTCCTTCCTCCTCCTCCTCCTCCTCCTCCCTCCTCCTCCTCCCTCCTCCTTCTTCTCCTCCTCATCGTCGTCATCCTCCTCCTCTTCCTGCTCCTCCTCCTCCTCCTCCTCCTCCCTCCTCCTCCTCCTCCTCCTCCTCCTCCTCCTCCTCCTCTCCTCCTCCTCCTCCTCCTCTCCATTCAAGGAGACTTCTTCGCAGGCTCCTTCGAAAGCAGGACAGGCTGCCGAGGAGCCCACCCCGCCCCCCCCTCTCGCCACTCTCCACGGACCCCCACACGGGGACCCTGCGGAACCCAGACGCCTCCTGTGCAAGGCGAGGCCAGGACGAAGACAAGAAATCGGATGAGAACACATCGGGGATCTTTAAGATCCCCCCGGTCCCGGAGGATGCCTCGGGCGCCGCGGCTTCCTCAGAGCGCTCGGGAACGCCCTGAGAGCGTTCCCGAACGCTCTGGAACGGATTCGTCCCCATTCCGGCCCCGTTCGACTTTGGCGCGCCCGAGCCAACTGCAGCCGTGGGCTGAGACATGCTCCGTTCTTCGCCCTCCCTCCTGGAAACATGTTCAAAGCCCTGCTTAGCAAAATCCGGGGAGGTCCCACAGCATGTGTTGACGGACCGTGCGGTGACCTCGACATCCCGAGGGACCTCACCGCGCGGTCCGCCACCTCACGGCCCTGGGACCTCGGAGGCCTCAGTCGCCCGAGACGTCCTCAGAGAACCATCCGAGTCCCCAACCCGTGCGGCGAACCCGAACCTCCACTGGCTCACAACGCGCCCCTGGCCCAAGGTGCCCCCAACTTTCCGCTCACTCGTGGAGCCCCTGGGGCCATCTGGGCCTGGTGAGGGGTGCTCTGGAGGCCGTGGGGGCCTCCTTGGAAATCCAGGGGGCACCCTGGGCCAGGGGCCCCGCTGTTGCACCCCAGGCCATGGAACAAAAGCACCGACGTCGGAAATATGGCGTCTGGCCGCGGTGTGCGCGGCACCGGGGCGAGAAAAGGCCCCGCCGAACCCAAAGTGCTGATACGATTACGCCCTGGGAGAGGTCGGGGGACCGACTCTGACGGTGGCAAGATACTAAGAGGTGATTGTCGTGACGACGTGGGTTTTTGGCTTCTGACACCGCGTGGATCGCTCAACTTTTAACGATTGCGGCTGCACGATCGTGCAGATCGTTCGATACTCGCCGAGTCTGGGCCTCTGGCGGCGTCAGACCTTGAACTCCCGCGCTGGGGTCGCCACCGAGGTAACGCGGCGCGAGCCTACCGCAGCCAAACTCGGGTGCGCCGAAATGGGAGGCCAAGAAACAGGGAGTGTGCATATCATGGCCCGAGGCATGTTTGCGGAAGAGGGGGAAGCAGGCAGCGCGAAAGAAGGAGAATAATAATAGCAATGATAACACTAATAGCCTGAATAAGAATGTTAATGATCCGCCTGCCCCCTTGTGGGGCCACCAGGCTGTAGGCGCGAGGTTCGCAGTTTCCTGTACCAGTCGTAGGATGTAGTTTCCAGTGTTACAGTTCTGCTTCTTGCTGGTTACTGTAACTAGTTGATTGACCGCGCGAGGGGGGGGGGAGGCCCAAACAGAACTTTTTAGCACCCCCTGGGCGCGTTGTCTGAATTGCTGGGGGGGCTCGAAATCGACACCCCTCACGCAGATCCGCGGGTTCAGGGTCCAAAAACACATAAGATGTGCCACATTTCTGAAATTCGGTGCCACCCCTCGCAGATCCGCTGAAATTCGGTGCCACCCCTCACGCACATCCATCGCAAGGCGTGGTAACCCAAACTGCGAGTACTCCCTCGGCCCTTTAATCCCAAGGTGTGGTAACCAAGCTCGTAAACCATACACGTCTTACCAATCGCCCTGTGTGGTACCCCTCTTGTGATCAGTTGGTTTTGCCGATTGCGAATCGGCCTCGCATGAAGTTCCGATACTGCTGCACGACAGCGCCAAAGCCTCATGACTTAGCTCTTCCATGGCCCATTCTCCGAGAGAGGGGGCCGGCGGCAGGGGGCAAAGCCCTTACGGATAAAGAACTGTAAGAAACTACGAATATTGGTACAATACTAAGGATATCTGGTAGTTGCAGCAGCCGCAGCAGCAGCAGCAGCAGCAGCAGCAGTAGCAGTAGTAGTAGTAGTAGTAGTAGCAAGTAGCAGTAGCAGTAGCAGTAGCAGTAGCAGTAGCAGTAGCAGTAGCAGTAGCAGTAGCAGTAGTAGCAGTAGCAGTAGCAGTAGCAGTAGTAGTAGTAGTAGTAGTAGTAGTAGTAGTAGTAGTAGTAGTAGTAGTAGTAGTAGTAGTAGTAGTAGTAGTAGTAGTAGTAGTAGTAGAGTAGTAGTAGTAGTAGTAGTAGTAGTAGTAGTAGTAGTAGTAGTAGTAGTAGTAGTAGTAGTAGTAGTAGTAGTAGTAGTAGTAGTAGTAGTAGTAGTAGTAGTAGTAGCAGTGGTAGTAGTAGTAGTAATAATAATAGTAGTAGTAGCAGCAGCAGCAGTAGTAGTAGTAGTAATAGTAGTAGTAGTTTCGTCGTAGTAATAGTAGTAGTAGTAGTAGTAGTAGAAGTAGTAGTAGTAGTAGTACTTCTACGAGTAGGCGTAGTAGTAGGCGTAGTCGTAGCCGTAGTAGTAGTTGTTGTTGTAGTAGTCGTATCAAAATGAGTAGTATTAGTAGTCGTAGTAGTAGTAGTGGTGGGAGAGGTAGTAGTAGAAGCAGTGGTAGTAGTAGTAGTAGCAGTAGTGGTAGTAATAGTAGTAGTAGTAGTAGTAGTAGCAGTCGTAGTAGTAGTAGTAGTAGCAGCAGTAGTAGCAGTAGTAGTAGTAGTAGCAGTAGTCCTAGTAGTAGTATGTGTTGTAGGGGTAGTAGTAGTGGTAGTAGTAGTAGTAGTAGTAATATTAGTAGTAGTATTAATGTCAATCATAAGAAGGCTGATAATAGTAGGAATACGAAGGCGACTCCGAACACAAACCATAGTGCGCAAACTAATCAAAGTATTACTGTGTACGAATACGAATAAGACTACACATAGAATTAATCGTGCTACTCATCATCAGAACAATCATGACACTCATAGCAATACGAATCATGATACGAACGGTAATGGTAACTATGATACCTATGGCTATGGTAGCAATATGCGAATAATATTGATACAAAAAACGTAAGCTAAAACATATGACTAATACTAAGAAGGAGACGAAGCAGAAGAAGAGGAATAATAAGGGCCAGGAGCTCGGCCATGTCTTCATTGGAAGCCCCCGACAGGCAGACCCTGACTTGGCCAAAGACCAGCTCGGGACACCTCGAGTTGCCCAGCGTCGCCCTCCGCCCTGCGGGCGCACAGCGCGAGTCACCCTCGGGCGCCTCGGGCCTCAGCGGAAGCAGGAGCAGAGGAGGAGGAGGAGGAGGAGGAGGAGGAGGAAGGGGGAGGAGGAGGAAGGGGGAGGAGGAGGAAGGGGAAGGAGGAGGAGGAGGAGCAGGAGCAGGAGGAGAGGGAGGAGGAGGAGGAGGAGGAGGAGGAGGAGGAAGGGAGGATGAGGAGGAGGATGAGGAGGTGATGAGTAAGTCTCGAGGAGGAGGAGGAGGAGGAGGCCCAGGCCGTGATGCGCGAAGCGCTATTCTTTCTTACCTTGCCGCCACCGACACTCCTCTGACCTTCGGGTGGCGGCCCTTTAGAATGACAGAGCCTGCGTGCCTC